CCTTTGTGGATTTGACTATGTTGCCCTTGTCTTTGTAATTGTAGACTCTCCATGTCCATGGGTCCTCTCGCCACTGCAGGCGCCCTGACTGAACATGTCTTTCAAATTCATCTTCCCCAAATTTGGCAATTAGCTCTTTCTCAGATTGCCATTCTTCCCTTTTGTCAAGGGTTTGGTCTTGACCAACAGATTCTTTCACTTGCATAAACTGGGGTACACTGGCTTTGACCATATACATGGCTGCCTCCATTCCTTTTTCCCCTTTTGTCAAGGAGTCAAAGGCTTTCTGCTCCTTAGCAGGCTTCTTCTTCAGGGCAACATTGTGCTTGCTCCACACTTTGGAGTGCTCTTCTTTGGTAAGCATGCCCCTCAGGTTGGTAGCAGCTTCTTGGGCAGTTTCACAACCTTCAGCAGCTTTTTGGACCTTCTGCGCTAGTGTCATCCTACCAAGCTTTTCCAAGTGGCCCTTTTTGAGGGAAAGCTTCTTGACTTTCATAGCCTTTGTTGATGGCTTCTTGCTGGCTGCCCCTTTACCTTTTGTCAAGGTACCTGTCCCATGGCTGCCTTTTGTCAAGGTCTTCATACCCTTTTTGGGAGGCATGGTTCTGAACAATTTGAGCCTGAAGCAGGCAGCATCTATGTCATGTCCTTTTTGTGGCCTTGTTAAATAGCCCCAAAATGGGCACCAAATCAAGTGACTAGTGGACAATTGGCTCAAAACATATTGTTGAGGCAGGGAAAATATCACAAATACGGCACTTGATCAAATTTGATGCAAATTTGATAAAACTGATCAAGTGTGGCATTTGCTGATATTTTGTGATTCAGAACTATTTCCTGGGTCAACTCACATGTTGGCACGCGGGTTCCTTGACAAAAGGAAGGCCACTCACACCTAGCTCCCTTGTCAGGAATGGGGGCCTTCCCCATGGCAACCATTTGTTTGATGTGTGTTGTAGAAGAAATTACCTTTCAGGGGCACCTTATCCAAATACAAACATATATGAACATATCCTGCATGTCAACCATCCTACATGTGCAAGCCCACCTCAGCATTGTGATTCCCTGGGCCATCCTATGCAGACACCACACACCACCACACACACACACACACAAAGGCCACATGTGAGGCCTTGACAAAAGGTGGGACCTTGACAAAAGGTGAGGCCTTGACAAAATGTGAGGCCTTGACAAAAGACTCCACCCCCCCCCCCCCCAGGCCCATAGCACCTCTTTTTTGTTCGGCAATTGTGTTCCCAATCCCTTTTGTCAAGGAATTGTTGCTGCACATCCTTTTTTTGTCAAGGAAATGCATTTTGCAAAAACTCACTCACACCCCCACTTCCTTTTGTCAAGGAAAATGGGGGGTTGATAGTGTACACATGGCGGGCAGTTTCCAACTCCAAGCTTTGATGTGCTGTTACTGCAAAACACCTTTGGGCATTGGGCTGGGTACTGTTAAGCCATGATGTCTTGCTTGAAGTTTGAAAGCTGCCTTTTGTAACCCATGACTACCCATGACTATGCTTTGCTTCTTCTGGCAATGGGGCAGCCACTAAAGTCTTTTGTCCAGACTTTCAATTGGATCCTTGTGGCAATGGGGCAGCCACTAAAGTCTTTTGTCAAGACTTTCAAGGGGATCCTTTTGTCAAGGCCCCTTGCCAGCGGTCATCCTTTCAAACCGCAAGAAGCCCTCCACAGCTTGAGCAAAAGTTGGCCAGGTCTTGTACTTGTCCCATCCTTTTTGCTTCCATGAAGGCACCACTGGGAAGACCTTGATGTTCCAATTGTCACATTCCTCAATGACTTGGTAGTTGTCATCAAAGATTGTGTCAATGCCATGTTTAACACAGTGCATCTGCATTCCCATACCATCCAGCAACAGAACAAGACCAATCCCCTTGCCAAAAGGGCAAAGACACAGCCTGCACAGAAGTGGGTGTTGAAAGAAAAGCCAAAAAAGAAGGTGGCAGTGGACTGGCACAACACTTTGGAGGTCAAGGAGACGGTTACAGCAGCCAACATCAATGCCTTGGACCAGCTGAAGAAGGAAGGGTATGAAGTGTACTTGTGCTCCTTTGGCGGCCACAACAGAAACTGGCACACAGACAACCACAGTGGCATCATTTGGGATGGCTGGGCTGGAAAATTCTTCACTTCTTCGCCAACTGTTGTGGAAGAAGCGCCCCAGTCAGGGCCCATCTCAAGCTCAGGGTCACTTGGCATGCTGGGCTGGCTTTTCTCTTTTTGGTACTGCTGCAAGGATGGCCCCAGTATCTTGTTGGGCTTCTCCTTTTTGTCAAGCGAGCTGCCTGTACCCTCACTTTCGTCAAGGGCTCCTCAAGAGGCGGCTGCTTGTTGCCCCCCACTTTTGTCAAGGGAAGGCCCTTTTGTGCCCCCACTTTTGTCAAGAGAGGCTCCTTGGTGACCCCACTTTTGTCAAGGGAATGGCTGGCTGCCCCCCCACCAGTTGTTTGCAAAAGGGCTTCTTTTCCCTTCTCCTCCCTTGGCAAAAGGGAAGCTTGCTCTGCACCCCTTTTGTCAAGGGAAGCCTCCTTGTTCTCTTCCCCCACACTCTTTTCCTCTACCACCGTTGGCAAAAGGGAAGGCTCCTCATCCTGCTCTTCCTTTTTGTCAAAGGAAGCCGTCTTCCTTCCCTCTTCCTCTTTCTTCTTCTTTTCTTCTTCCATATCAGCTTTCTGCTCTTTTGAAGCCAGGCAGTACTTCAGCTACCAAGCAGTCAACAGGTGTGGTTTTCTGTTCTTTCCCAAGGCTTTGTCAGCCTCCCAGTCAATGCCCTTTGCTAAGGCATCCTCCAGAGCCATGTTTGTATTTTCCCTGGCCATGCCTTTTTTTTGAAGGCTTCCTTTCTTGTGTTGGTGACTGTCCCGCTGCCAGCAACTCTGCCTTTGTTGTTCTTAGCCATGGGCCCTTTTGCCAAGGGCAACAACTATATGCGGGCTTGAGCCAAAAAAGCACTCACACAACACACAAGTTACCCACACTACTTTTTGGGCAGTTCCTATTTGGGGCACTAGGGTGTGGAAGCCAAAGTGGGAATAGGTTTGAACAAGGCGCATCACTTGAATTGTTTCTGTTGGCAACCAGGTTTCACCAAACACTGTGGCTACTTCAGACCTCATGGCATGCTATGGAGTGACAAGCACAGTCCCACCAAACCAGTCCTCGCCCAAGCATTTTTCCTGCTTTGTCGAGAAGTTTGTGAAAAGGGGGCATGCCCTTTTGTCAAGGCAAGCTTCTAGGCATTGGGCAAGGCAAGAATCCTTTTTGTCAAAGGACAAATGTGCCTTTTGAAAAACTTGGCCCCTGCTTCTTTTGTCAAGAACAGTGCAAAAACACCTTTTGTCAAGGATCTTTGTGAACCACCTACCAGGTTTTATACAAGTGGTCCTTCAGTTCAACTGCTTCTTGTTTTGTCAAATGCTCTGCTTGCAGCCTCTTTAAGATCTCCTGCATAATGTCCACATAGGATGGGTGGCCTGCTTTAGTTGTTTGGACAATGTGCATGACTTTCCCATCAGGGTCATGGGCCCCACATATGTAAGCCCTGTAGGGCTCTTTGTTGGTGACAGTCTTCGTCAGCTTAGCCCATGGCTTTCTTGTAGGCTCTGTTGGTGTTGCTTTTGCCTTCTTTTCTGAGCAGCCTTTTGTCAAGGACACCCCTTTTGTCAAGGAGCCAGCCTTCTTAACCTTCTTTTTGTTGGAGGCTGGCCTCTTCCTTGTCCAAATGCCAAATTATTTCCTCAAGCCTGTTGGCTTTTCACCCTTGCTACTGGCTGCCACAGCTTGCCCTGGTCTTCTTCTCAGGAAAGACTTGCTTGGGGGGCATGATGCCTTTGGTGTTTCCTCTTCATGGCTGCCCTTAGCTTCAGGAGTCCCAAAGCACTTTGGAATACCAGAGCTGTCCACACTCACATCACTTATGTGCTTCTTCAGCTTCTTCTTTGGCTCCCCTGAAGCAGGCTCCCTTTTGTCAAGGGGCTCCCTTTTGTCAAGAGGCTCCCTTGGGGCAAGAGGCTCCCTTTCGTCAAGAGGCTCCCTTGGGTCAAGAGGCTCCCTTTTGGTCAAGGGGCAGGGTTTCTTCATGCTGTTGCAACTGTTGCTTTTTGATGATCTGGCCCACAACTTCTCTCAGCTGCAGATAATCAGGCCCAGTAAGCTTCGCAGCACAAGATTTCAAGTCAGAAGCAGCTAGCCTCCTCATGTGGTATAGCAGCACCCCAATTCTTTCCACCCTCAGCCCCACCCAAACACTGCCAGAAAACTTGGTGTCATTGAGAGAGGGCTCCTTCAACAGTACCTGAAAAATGGAATTTCTCAAGCACTGGCTGTGTATTTCTGCTTGGGGCTCCAACTCCAGCAGCCCCTTTGTCAAGGGCAACAGCTTGAATAACCCCTTGGGGTTCACAGCTTGGCTCTTTGATATGTGTTCATACACACCAAAGTCTTGCAGCAGGTCTTGGTGAAGGCTGAATACTTTCAGCAGCAAACCTTCATCCACTTGTGGCTTTATTGTATGCCTGGGCCCACCTCTATTGTCCAGATGCTTGGGCATTGCCTTTTGTCAAGGAGGACACCCTTTTGTCAAGGAGGACAAAATGTACAGCGTTCTTTTGTCAAGAACACTTCTTTCGTCAAGAATGGGTCCAAGCTCGATGCTTGAGCCTAAAGGGTTGCATCTGCAGCACCTGCCTTTTCAGTTGAAAGCAAGAAATGTAAAATCAATATCCAAATCAATATTCAAATCAATATTTGGAAGCAAAAAACACAGCTAACAAAGGTCAGACAAAACATATTAGAAAAATCAATAAAAACGATGCAAATCAATATCAATAAAATACAGCACTTTCAGATTGATTAGAATCAATACCCGATGCCCAGGGCAGTAGTGCCCTTATACCAGGGTTCTACTAAAATAGACAGAACAAATGGGTGCACTAAAATCAACTAAAAATCAACCCCTAGAATCGATGGCTGAGGACTCTTCGACGCTTTGGGCACGGAGGGCGGGCCTTTGCTGCTGGTGGCTCTTGGGCCCCAAAGCGACGCCCTCGAGGACCTCGAGGCGGGAGCCCTGCGTTCGGTTCGGACGGTTCGGACGCCTAGGGAAGCATGGGGAGCCCATGCATCGGTGTCCTTTGTGGTTGTTTGGGTAGAAAAATAGAGGGCGGTTCCTGGTTTACCTGGTGGTGTAATTAGCTACCAGGCCATCTATTTCCCCTAAAAGGACACCTGTGGGCCGAATGCGTGTAATTTTTTGTGGATGGTTGCAAGAGCGGATTTCGCACCACTTTGAAGCCATAGGAAGCCATTGTTCGGTATTTGTGTTGGGGAATCATGATTGATGGGTTTCTCAAGTGGTGCAGGATTTCGTCCATCCACAGTATGTGTGTGGGGTGCTTCCATTTGCTGAAGAATGTTGCTTATTTTCCGTTGTTGGTTTGAAAGGGAACCTATCGCTACCTGCTAATATTTGATTTTTCTGGGCGTCTCAAGCAAATGGAAGGTTATAGTGGGCTCTCGTCTGAGTTAAAGCCACTCAGTTTGAACCATGGCGGCCAATGCACCAGTTCAACTGGTCAGGTCCTGCGGTTCTTTGGCCGTTAGCCTCAGGTTTGCTTTTTTCCAAAGGCAGAGGGGGAAAGAAATCGCGGCCGTCAGGTGCCGGCAAACGCCTTCTGCCTGCCGGTCATGCCCCAGGCGCATGTGCGTAGGGGGCGGGAGGGGGGGGGAGGGGTGAGGTTCATTCAAGCATTGAAGGAAGTTGATACTTCACCTTTGGCAATCTTGGGTCTCACTTACCCAAAGCGAATCGACCTGATCTTTGGTTTCCTCTTGTTTTTGTTTTCTTAGTCATACTGTGGATGGACGAAATGCTGGGCCACTTTGAAACCACGAGAAACCCTTGTTGGTTGGTATTTACAAGGGAATCAGGATTATCAGGTTTCTCAGGTGGTGTTGTGGGAATTGTGGAGGGGTGAAGCCACGGATCCAGTCTTGTTTCTTTTTGCGCCCAGGGGTGGGATAGTTCAGGTGGTTTGTTGCCTTTGGCTTGTTGCCAGATGTGAGAAGCTTCCGCTGCTTGGGTTTGTCGCTCAATTGAAACTCAGCTGGCATCCAGCCGAGCACTAACAGAGGAATCCAGCACAATACTTCGTGAGCGAATTTGAGCACGTCGTGAGAGAGCAAGACGAAGGCATGAGCACTAATGGGCCGGGTCAAGGCGCCAAGGCGGAAGCCTTGAACCCTCCTTTTCGCTTGGGTTCTCACCAACATGGCCAATCCAAAAAAAACAGAAGTTGCTCCCTTGCCAGGTTCAGGGGTTGAAACCAGGCTTCAGGATGTCAGGGGGGACTCAAGAACCAGTGAACAATCACTTGGAGCGCCTGCTTTCAATTTGGAGAGACATCCATCAACGTGCACAGCAATGTCAAAGCAACAAGTAGATCCCCATCAAAACCTGGCGGCTTGATGCCTACCCCAGGTCCCTCAATAGGACGCAACGCCTTTGTCCAAGCACATGCCCATTCCCAATAATTGCATAGGGAGGTCCACAGCCATCAAGTCAGCCCTTGCTTATACAGTTTCCTCGGATGTCCCTTGGGGAAGAAACGGACATCTAATGTATAACTAGGAGGGCCCCTGACAGATCATGTTGATCTCTGTCTGGTGGTTTCCTAGATTTCCATGTATAGAATTGATGTATCCAAAGAACAGCAGAAACAGGAAGAAACGGGAAACTAGGAAGGAGAGTCCACATCCATTTCGGGCTCCTGTGGTTTCTCTTGGTGGGATCCAGCACTCAAGAGAAACCAAAGGGAAACCATCCATTTGGGGAGGTCACCTATTTCAAGACACTCCATATGTGTACAAATATCGATGTTCGTATATATATATATATATATGTATATGGGCATGGGTCAGAATTAAACCACCAGGGGACCGCAGATTTTATTCCATGGTTCCATTTACCAAGTTCCATTTTGGGTACCTACTTTTGACCCACAGCCACATAACTATAAAAATAAGGACGACAGAAGCAGTGGGGCCCTGACGACTTTCCACTTGGAGAAGCCCACCACCGGCATGTGGCCCTTTTGCATCCGGAGGTGGACCTGCTCAAGTCTGGCGTGGACCTCTTCCTGACACACGGGGGGCAGAACAGCTTTATGGACCCCTGGCCGGTTGGCGTTGTTGTGGTTGTTGTTGTTGTGGCTGTGGCTGTGGCTGTGGCTGTGGCTGTGGCTGTGGCTGTGGCTGTTGTTGTTGTTGCTGTTGCTGTTGCTGTTGCTGTTGCTGTTGCTGTTGCTGTTGCTGTTGCTGTTGCTGTGGTTGTGGCTGTGGTTGT